GGGAGAGACGAGAGAATGAATAAATGGCAACTAATCAGCAACCAGCTTGGCCCTCGTTCTTCCTTCATCTGTCCAAGGCTACAGCTGTCTGGGGTGGGGAAGCAGTTCGAGAGCACCAAACGTGGGTGGCAAATGAGAGCTGCACGGAGAGCCTGCAAGTATCCTTTCATGTGTAATTCCTGAGCAAAGGAGTTTACACAGCTCTGAGCAGTAAGGGGTTTTCACACACTTTAGAAAGAGTAACACGAGAGCATATAAGAGGAAGCTGAGATATTTGAAGAAATAAGAAAGGGCCATACCAATTTTGTCTGTAGCACTGTCCTCCCCTTGTTCATCGATTTGCTTGAGTAACGTCTGAGTAACCAGTAACGTCTCACAACAAATTGTGAGACTTGTTACTGTTTTTGGCATATCGAATACGCCACAGGGAGCTCACCAGGCTCTGCCATGTGGGCGAGATACTCTCGGTAGCTTGCTGGGCTCTCCAAGAGGGCGGAGGAATCAAACCCGGGTCGGCTGCGTGCAAGGCAAACGCCCTACCTGCTGTGCTATTGCTCCAGTCCCAAATTTTTAAGTAAATTCTCCAAATACAGAACTATAAAAGCAGTGCTTTCCAATCCTATAACAAATCATGGCATACTCAGAAAATACTATTATTTGTACAATATAGTGGGGCATATTGTGACACAGAACTGTAGGCTTCCCAGTTTAGTCAGCTTGAGGGTTCTCAGAATTCCCTTTCCAGTGGGCAAGGGAATACATTTCTTAGTCTGGGCACAACAGTCACCAGAAGCCAGGAAAAGTGAGAAAGGATTCTCCCTTTGAAACAGGCCCAAAGAAATTAAGAACAGCAAACTGGTAGACAAGTACTTCAGGAATTCACTGTTCTGGATTCCACCAGTCTGCAGTTCACCTTTTTTCCCCTGTTCTTTCCTCTCTTAAACCCTTTTTAGCACTGAAATGTATTGTGTTTTGGTGTTATATCTATTCAAGTGTGAACTGGACCTTGCTGCTAAGCTGTAGCAGCAATCTTGTCTCAGTTGGAGGAAACTCCTAGTAAAATTAGCACACTGCACATGTCTTAATGAAGTTTGAATGTTTAATAAATTATGTATGCAATTTTAACAAACCCGTCTAACGACTGTGCAGGAAAGGTGGCTGCTTTAAGGACCATGTTCCAACCTGTGGCATGCTGCCAATAAGGCTCCTTCTCTGGATCTTGTCTCTTGTTTGATCGTCCTCTACTGGCACTCCAATAACATTACACCTTTTAGGAAGGAATATGGCTCAGACAACATCTCTGAATTTCTGACCTTATAACTGTGAAAAATGGGCCAGATACTACAAAGGTTAAAATGTTTGTCTTGCATTCTGCCAATCCTAGTTTGATTTTTCTGGCAGGGAGAGGATGGGAGTGGGGGGAGGAGCCCACACACATCTGTGCTCAGGGTTTCCTCCTAGTTCTATACTCAGGAATTAGTTCTGGCAGTGCTCAGGGAACCTAGGATTGAACCTGTGGGAAGCCAAGGATTGAACCTGTGTCAGCCGCATGGAAGGTAAGCATCCTATGTGCTATATTCTGGCTTTGGCTCCTGTGTCTGAGTCCCCAACACAAGATAATGATGCCTGAGCACCACCAGCTGTCACTCCTGAGCATGGGGGCTAGAACAGGCCCTGACGTTTAGGTGTGGCCCCAAAACCAAAAATTAAAATAAAATATAATAAAATAAAAAATAAAAAGCAAATCAATTTCTGTACTGAAGTGTAAGGAACCCTTTTATAATAGATAAGAGTTTATAGATATGGAATATGCTAGCAGATATGAACAAGTGGATTTAGCAATAAATTTGACCAAAAAAAGTATTATATTCTTATTAAAAAAAAGTTGGGCTTTTTTTGGTTGTTTTTTTAAGGGTTTGGGCCCATATTCAGAGGCGCTCAAGGGCTACTCCTTATGGCTGGTGAGCCATAAGCTGTGCTGACCACTAAACCAGGGTCCACGGCATGCAAGGCAAGAACCCTAACCCTAGAACTATCTCTCTGAACCCCCACCCCATGCTCGAGTAAAGTCTGGATCAGTAACCATACCTCTCTCCTGAGTAAATTTGAGTCAGATTTGCAAATTCAGTCTAAAAGATACGACTGCTCAATAAAACCAAACTACTTAATGAGCAGAAGTATTTGTTGATTTGATTTTCTCTGAGCACTATCAAACAGAAGGTTTATGGGCAGGAAATGTTTAATTCAGCAGGCCTGGGTTATCAAAGTCTGTACATTCCCAAGAATCATAGTTCACAGCATAGTCACTGCCACTGTATTAAATATAACACCTTGTTTTTAAATACAGAAATACAGAGGTGAGAAAGACAGCATATATATAGTTAAGGCATGTCTTGCACACAGTAGATCTGGGTTTGATCCCCAGCACCACAGAACCCCTAAGCAGGGCCAAGAGTCATCCTGAGTGTAGCTGGTTATAACCCCCAAACAAAAATACCAGAATTTTTTTTTTAAAAAAAAACCCTTTCATATAATGATTATGCCCCACTTTTTTGGCAAAAATTTTGACATAAAATCTGCAATGATTATGGAATCTGTAGTGAAATATGGAAAATTACACTGGCTGGCTCCTAAGAACTTACCAATTCTGTGTGATAAACTTTTGTGGAACTGGGAGATAGCTCAAGGGATTTGGGAAACTTTCCCCTTAATGATAACCCTAAGGTTTCTGCGATAGTCCCTTGATTCTATTTTACTATATAATGGGGGCAGCAAATGTGCTCCAAGACAAGAACAGAATAGGAAATTACGAGGACTCTATTTGTTGATTTGTTTGTTTTGGAGGGACCACACCCATCAGGGATCAGGGCTTATTCCTGGATCTGCACTCAGAGATCATTCTTGGGGGGGGGGGGGGGAATCAAATCAAAACCGCCCCAACAACCAAGACTTAAATACTATACTTTAAGGTGTAGGGCGTTTGCCTTGCATGAGTCTGACATGACTGACCCGAGTTCGATTCCTCAGCCCCTCTCGGAGAGCCCAGCAAGCTACAGAGAGTATTTTGCCCGCTCGGCAAAGCCTAGCAAGCTACCCGTGATGTATTCGATATGCCAAACACAGTAACAAGTCTCACAATGTTACTGGGCCCGCTCGAGCAAATGATGAACAATGGGAGGACAGTGACAGTGAAGGTGCTTACTGTGTATCACCCTAGTAATAGCTATGTAACTGCCCCAGCCTTTGCTCTCAATGTACCTGTTAGTAGAAAAAAATGGTTAGTATGTCTAAAGTCAAGGAACCAGGGTGTGGGAAGCAGAATCTGTCTTCAATAAATGTTCAAAGCTTTGGAGGCTAGTGTGTATCCTGAACAGGCCACAAAGTCTGTTTGCCTCATTCTTTCTGTTCTGGTTTTTTGTTTGGGGGCTACATCTGGCAATGCTCAGAGACTACTCCTAGCACTACACGCAGGAATTACTGCTGGCAGTAGTAGGGGGACCATAAGAGTTGCCAGGGATAAAACCTGGGCCAGCCACATGCAAGGCAAGCACTCCACCTACTGTACTTCTCTCCAGCCCCTCTGTCTCGAAGAGGTCAAAGATGCCAATCTGACTGGTTCTACTGTAGTAAATTAATTACAGAAGGCCTGGAACAGATTCTCTGCCAGCAGGAAACCCATATTCAGCGCCCTGCACAACATGATCCCCACCATGGAGGTGACCTTTCACCCCCTCAACCAGGAGAGCCCGAGTTCCACCACACACATACACAAAATAATGACTTTGCAGGCTGAAGAGAGAGCTAAAGGGCTGGAGCACATGCTTTGCATGCAGTAGATCTGGGTTCCATCCCTGGAATTGGTACCACCTGGACAGAATACCGGCACAGAGCCCAGAGTGGACCCTGAGCACCACCAAAACAAATAAAAACAATTATCTTGCATATTGAGGGGTTGAGACATGCTTTATTGACTTTGCCCAGAGAGCTTATACTATGTGTGTGTGTGTGATCTGCTTTTTCTCTAAAGGTCTAGAATAACGTTTCTCAAAAGGGGGCACATGCTCCCCTGCAGGTCCCAGAATATTCTAAGGGACCCACAGATAAAAATTCTGTAAATGGGAACCATAACACAAAATTGGGGGCAAGTCAGCAAGTATGACAGGGTAGGGAGTATATACGAAGGAAAAATAGTAAGATGGGGGCCACAATTGGAAAATGGTTGAGAAACACTGGTCTACAGCTTGAATATATAAGGCCGGTCTTTGACCAGCATGAAAAACGCCCCCACTTCAAATAAAAACCATGGACATCCAGGGTTGACTGGAGTGAGTGTCCTTAAAAGGTCAGAAACATCTCAAAAATTTTACCATAAATCATGGCTGGGGAAACAAATCCCTTCCAGTGCAACTCCCTCCCTTAGAGGAGATACTTGCCTGCTTGCCCTTCACTCCCTCTAGAACAGTTTCTCAACCAGGAATTTTATGGTCCATCATGAAATTCCAGAGGGGGGGTGGGCACAGGTGAAAACTGCACGAATGGGGGAAGGGTGAAGGAGCACAGTGTAAGACCAGGAGACTAAGTGGTAGGACACAGAGGGCCACAGGAAGGAATCAAGATCACAAGAAGGTCGAGTTGGAAAAGGGTTGAGAAACAAGCTTTAACCCAGAGAGGCCCCCAAACTGAATTGGTCTAAATACCCCCTTTGCAGATCAAAAATTACTTGGTGTACCCCTGGAGAGCTACCATCTTTAAGTAAACAAACAGAAAGCACCCTCCCTTTATACAGAGGCTATGTCTGGATTATTTCAGTGCTCCCTTGCAGGGAAGGGAGGAATGGTATCCTCAACTTTAGGAAACACTGCTCTAGACTTTGGCCCATGAGCTTCTCCCCTTTGCCAATTTACAGTATCTGTTTTGCTGTAAAGACACTGGTACACTGTTGACATGCATCAAATGCCAGAGTGTCAGGGACTTCACACACATATACAGTCAGCAATTACCTTGGTGTTCTCATCTTGATCTAGCTTCTGTTTTCTTTTCTTATTTCTGCTGTGAAATTCTACCACTTCTACTTGTTCCCCTTTGTTCTTCCTGGAGGAACAGGATCCTAGAACACAAGAGCCTTTGAGTCCTGAAGGAAAATCACTTGATTTTCCTTCAGCAGAAGCACATTGCACCTCTTCTCTGAGTTCCTGAAAGAAGCTGGAAGCGCTCTTCCTCTGGCCTTTGACAAGACATTCCTGTGGTGGGCTGGCCTCTGCTGCCAAGGTTGCTGAAGTCCCTATATCTTTCTTTTTGTTTTCTCTTTTCTTTCTCAATCTTTTCTGTTCTGCTTCATCTTCCATCTCCCCTATTTGTTCAAACACAAAAAGGAAAAATAAATACTCTTAGCAACAGACAATATTTTGGTGATATCAAATAAGTTACCAATATTAAAATGATTTGAACGTAGCTGTTTATATGCCACAGATATAAATACCCAGAAACATATAAATTTACATTTTTTATCAATATAACTGTATGTGCACAATTTATAAAAATTTTTTAAAAAGGTCATCCCTTTCAAAGTAACTCTATGTCTGTAATTTCTACGAGCTAGTACTTTAATCCTCACCATGGTCTTAAATAAAGTACCAACAAAGCAACAGGCCCAAGAAATTCCAGTAAGTTCATGCTTTACACTAAAAATGTCCATTGTTGCAGCCAATGTTTCTTTAAAACACTTTCTAGGATCCTAGCTAGGTTTTATAGTTTTACTATTTCCTTGCAGCTGTGAAATAAGATGAAGTTATGACAACTAGATAACTCAAAGGCCTGTATTTTCTACTTAATTTTCTATCTCCTGTTCACCTACTAAACTCTAAACTGTCATCTGAGGTTATTAAGAATGCTAGGTATCAAGATGCACTGATAAATAAGCTAATCACATACAGAAGTGAAGAAATAACTCAAACACCTGGAAATTAGACAGTTCACTACTGAACCAATGGGTCAAAGAGGAAAAAAATTCCTGGAAACAAGTACGAAATAGGACATGAGTTACCAGAACTTGCGGGACACAGCATAATGGGTTTTAAAAGAAAGTTCAAAGTTATGCAAGCATTCACAAGAATGGGCCCCCTATATCTAACTGCACAACTTAAGAGACTGGAAAATGACAAACAAAATGAGTTCAAAGCAGGGAAGGAAGGAAGGAATAAGACTTAGAGCAGAAATTAAAGAATTTGAATCCAAAAGATTAATGAAAACAAGAGCTGTTTCTTCCAACATAGGTAAATAAATAAGATCAACAAACCATGGGAAAGATTTATAAATAAAGAGAAAGAACTGAATTAGAAATGAAGGGGGTGATGTCACAGATACAATAGATATCACAGAAATTCAAAGGATCATCAGGGATTACTTTGAAAATCTTTATGCTACAAAAGGAGAGAATTTAGAAAAAAAATGGATAAATTCCTGGACTCCTGAAACATCTCAAGGCTGAGCCATTGACATAGAACATCTGAACAGAATACTAATAAGGAAAATGAAGTGATAATCAAAAGTTTCCCCCAAAACAAAACCCACTGGGTTCCTTAGTGAGTTCTTTCAAAATTTTAAAGAAGAGCTATTGCCAATTTCTTTCAAAACATTAAATAAACTTGGGGGTATGGTGCCGCCAGCAGGTCAATCTGTACCTGGGAGGCGAGTCCATCAGCAGCCTGATGGCGCCTTCAGACTTCCAGATACCCCCAAAATGCTGCTGTGCCTTTGGCCAGACCCCGAAAAACGTGGGGCAAAGTTTAGCAAGAAAGTAAACGGCCAAAAGTTAGGTATGTGGGAAACACACCCACAAACCACCTCCGGCTCAGCTATATAATTGGAGGCATGCATCTCTGGTTCCTGATTGAACTGCTTAATGGTCATAATCCCAGAGACTCGAAAAACAATTCTCGAAACCCAGCGGTTTTTCACAGAAATGCGTCCGGTCCCTGCAGTAGGTTACTGGCACTGGGCCAACCCAGGTGGGAATAGGTTTTGTGCCGTGGCCTGTTCCCCCTGGTGGCCCAGTGGCTCCTCCAGAGGCCACTGGACAGTCAGGTTTGGACCCGCAGTGACGAGACACGCAGGGCCTCACAGATGGGGGTAAAGCCGGTCCTGTCCTCCCCACCCCGAGACCCCAAGTCATCGCCCATGAACGGCTTCTCTGGCTCCTGATTAAGCTGCTTAATGGCCATGATCCCAGAGACTCTGAAACAAATCTTGAAACCGAGCAGCTTTTGGCAGAAATGTGTCCGGACCTCACAGTAGGTTACTGTTGCCAGGTCACCCCAGGGGGTAAGGGTGGTGTCTCTCCACCTGCTCCCCCTTGGTGGCTCAGTGGCCACCATTCTCCAGAGGCCATTGGACAGTCAGGCTTGGGCCCGCAGTGACGAGACATATTGGGCCTCACGGGATGGGGGTGGAGTCGGTCCTGTCCTCCCCGTCCCAACGAGACCCCAAGTCATTGCCCACAAATGGCCTCTCTGGCTCCTGATCAAGCTGCTTAACGGCCATGATCCCAGCGACTCAGAAACAAATCTCGAAACCCAGTGGCTATTGGCAGAAAAGCATCCGGACCATGCAGTAGGTTACTGTCGCTGGGCCATCCCTGGGGAGGAAAGGGTGTTGTCCCTCCACCTGCTTCCTGCTGGCGGCTTGGTGGCCATCATCCTCTACAGGCCATTGGACAGTCAGGTTTGAGCCCGCAGTGACATCTTGGGCCTCACGGGATGGGGGTGGAGCTGGTCCTGTCCTCTCCACTCGAACGAGACCCCAAGTCATCGCCCACGAACGGCCTCTCTGGCTCCTGATCAAGCTGCTTAACGGCCATAAACCCAGAGACTCAGGAGCAAATCTCGGAACCCAGCAGGTTTTGGCAGAAATCCCTCCAGATTTAAGTGTTAAATTTTCGGAATTTCAAAATCGCGCGGCCACTCCTGCATCCACGCGCTCTCATATGTTATTCATAACCAGCAATAGAAAACAAATTATCTACTCTTGCCTTTTCAGCAGATCTGAGTGTTGGGGTAAAATCCCAAATAATAATGGTGGGTCTGGTGTCAAAATCTTGAATGTGATCAAAATAGAGAGAGAGTAATGTGGAAACCATCTGCCCCACAGGCAGGGGGAGGGTGTGGGATGGGGGTATACTGGGGTTGTTGGGGGTGGAGAAAGGGCACTGATGAAGGTACGGATGTTTCATTGTATGACGAAAACTTAAACCCGAAAGGTTTGTAACTGCTCTCATGGTGATTCAATAAATAAGATTATAAAAAATGAAAAAAAAAAAGTAAGGTGGAGTTCATGCATAATTCAATCAGCTAATCAGTGGCTGAATAAATAGCAGTACTCCTACTTAAAAAAATTAAATAAACAGAAACCCTCCCTGTGTAATCAAAAAATAAATTTCAAAAGGCTGCAGCTCTTTATCTCTTGCAGGAATTAGGTAGTGCCTCGCTGCTTCCCTTGGGGGATTGGGGGGGGGGGTTGGCCTCTGGTGAAGGAAGTACGAAGGAGGGAACGAGGGCCAGGCTGGTTGGTGTCAATTGCAGTTTATTCCAATCTCATCTCCATTCTCCTCTGATCCTCCTTTGGCTTCTGCCTCTGCTGATCCCCCTCATCCTCCTGGTAGGTCCCTCTCCTTCATACTTCTCCTTCCTGCTTTTGCCTCCCCCTACTGCCTCATTCTCCTTCTGGATCCCACTTCATTCTCCTTCTCGCTCTCTCAGCCCCCTCTCACAGCCTAGTTAAATCCCAAAGTATAAGGGGTTGTGGATTACACATAGGTGTGGTCACAACCAACAGAGGTAAAGTCCTTCCCTGGGGGGGGGGGGGGGGGGGGAGCTTCCTCTAGGACAGATTCTTATCTAGCAGGGCAACCCACCCAAGAGCAGAATAGTATGGGTGTTTCTCCTCTCCTTGTCCAACAAACATAAACATTCATAATATTCTTAATAACTAAAATTTCTAGGGCTGGAGCGATAAAACAGTGGTTAGGGCATTTGCCTTGCACATGGCTGACCTGGCTTCAATTCCTCCATCCCTCTCTGAGAGCCCGGCAAGCTACTGAATATCCTGCCCACAGGAAAGAGCCTGGCAAGCTCCCTGTGGCGTATTCAATATGCTAAAAACAGTAACAAGTCTCACAATGGAGACTTTACTGGTGCCCGCTGGAGGAAACTGATGAAAAAGGGAGGACAGTGCTACAGTATGGACATAGTAAGAGATATATTAAGCTTATAGGATTACTCTCCTGGGGCCATCTCAGTATAGATCTCAGACTACCGTGCTCAAGTCAGATTAGTTCTTCCTAACAGTAATCACTTAATCACTTAATCCCAGTTATTCATCGATTTACTCGAGCAGGTGCCAGTAACGTCTCCATTCATCCCGGTTGCGTGCTAGCGTAGCCCAATGGTATCTGTTCGTTCTAGGAACATGCAGAGCCTCAAACCGATCATTCAGGGTATTGACGAAGAAGTCTGACCATCTTGTAGGTGGGCGTCCACGTGATCTTTTGATGTCCCGTGGAATCCAATCAGTAACGGCTCTAGTCCAGCCGTTGTCTGTAAACCTCATTACGTGTCCAGCCCATCTGATTTTTGATGTCTTGGCAAATGAGGCAGCGTCCCTGATTCTTGAGCGCTGACGAAGATCAGAACTCCGGATTCTATCTCTCATTTGAGTGAATCGTGATATTCCAAGCATAGCTCTTCAATTCCTCTTTGAGAGACCCGAATAGCGTTCTCATCCTGTTTTCGGAGGGTCCAGGTCTCTGAGGCATGTTAATGCAGGAAGAACAGTGGAATCAAAGAGATGTGCTCGTAGCTAGAGGTTCTTTGTCCTTTTAGTTATTTCTTCAACGTTCTTGAAGGCATTCCAAGACTTCCTAACAGTAGCAGGGTCTTAATCTCGTTGTTACTTTTGGACCATGATAGCATTTGTCCATGACCATGCTCTTAAACTTATAGTTAAGTATTGTGGCGCTTTGGCCTGGCCCACTTCACAGTTTGAGCTACCCAAGCTGTGAGGGTAGCTCACAGCTTGCCTGGGTCCATTCAGTCCCTTGTCAGGACCCTGTTTTTCGGGTGCGAGGAACTAAGGGCAACTGAGGCTTAAGTTGAGATAGCAGATGCCCGGGAGTGAATATAATTTGGAGTCAAAACGCATAATATTAACTGTCTTTCTGTGTCTATATACAAAAAAGGACACTGCTTTAAAATAAACTATGCAAAAGACATAAGGAGAGGAGAAAGGCAGTATTTCATTCATGAATACAAGTGTCCTTAGATGGATCTGACCTTCCAAGTTAACAGTCTGATTAGGGGGAAAAGGTGACAGACCAGTTGTTTGAGAGAGCACAGAGAAGAGTTTACAGATAAACACAGGAATGGGAGTGACTTGGGAGCACTGTGATAGGTACAACCCTATAAACCTAAGCTCTCTGTGGCAAGGGAGAAAGGACAAACCAATGTTATCCTATGCCTCCTAAACAGTTTCTATGAGGCAAACATTAGCCTGATACCAAAAGCTGACAGAAACAGCACCAAAAAAAAAATTACTGACTAATATACCTGATGAACATAGATGCAAAGATCCTCAACAAAATATTAGCAGACTGAATCCAAAAATTCATCAAAAAGATCATATACCACTTAGTGTGGGACCCATCCTTGGAATGCAATATGGTATAACACACAAGTAAGTCAACATAATACACTATATCAATATAAGAAAAAATAAAAACCATATAATCATATCAGTATATGCAGGAGAAGCATTTGACAAGATGCAATGCCCATTCATAATAAAAACGATCACAATCATCCTGTTGTTCATCGATTGCCTCGAGCAGGCACCAGTAACGTCTCCTTCACCCTAGCCCTGAGATTTTAAAAAGTGCCATATTCAAGGCTCTTTCAGGGTTAGGAGAATGAGACCCATCATTGTTACTGGTATTTGGCATATTGGGTACACCACGGGGAGTTTGCCAGACTCTGCCGTGTGGGCAGGTTACATTCGGTAGCCTGCCAGGTTGTCAAAGTAAGAATGAGATAATAAGATATCACATGGCCGCAGATGCGGCTAGGATCTGGGTTTTATAGTCTCTGGGTCTTGGCCGTTGATGGAATTACAGAGCCGGGGGTCAGTTGGTGGGTGTGACCCTTGCCTACTGGAAGATGGAGGATCTGGGTGTAGGATGCTCAGCCCCGATCCAAGCAGGCTTGGAGATCTCAGCCCCGGGACCCGCATGCCTTTGTTCCTCTGCCGGTACCTTCATGCGTGTGGAGAGTGGTCTCAGCATGGTTGTGGCTGGTTCTGGAGGTCTTCGGCTGCCGGGGCTTTGCTCGGGGCAGGGAGGGAAACTCAACCTGCCCCCCTCCAAGGGGCTCCGGCGAGGACAGCCAGGCGCGGGGGCAGGAGGTGGGGAGGATACTAGGGACATTGGTTGTGGAAGATGTGCACTGGTCAAGGGATGGGTATTCGATCACTATATGACTGAAACTCCAATATGAAAGCTTTGTATCTCACAATGATTCAATAAAAATTTTTTTTACAAAAAATGCTAGGTCTCTTTACTCACGTATTATACAAATGTTTCAAGTTCAACTGTCACTTAGGTTTGCTTCTACTTGCTTAGTCTATTAACACATGTGTTAATAACACTAAACTTAACATGTGTTAATAGACTTAAGTTAACTAAACAGTGTTTCCCAAAGTGGGAGTGTGATGCAGAATGCTGGAAATACTGTAGTTGGTGAGGTGGGGGTGGGGGGCAGCTGGGTATAACTGGGGAGTACTTTTTGTTTGTTCCCTTAAAGCAGATTTCCAGAAGAGCACAACTTGATTTTTTTTTTTTTAAACAGGGGGTGGGGGGCAGTAGTGATGTAGGCAGGTAGATAGGGAAAGGCTCTCTGCAATGAAACAAAGTCTCATAGAAGAAGAATTCTAGGACCGACCCACCCTGTGGAGACAGAGAATAAAGACTTGATAAGACCATCCCCACACCCTGAAGATATGGGCCTGCTCCCCATGAAATTCATCCTTTCCGAGAACCTGCTTTCAATCCGGTTGACTCCAGCGACCCAGCCCCAAGGAGATTCCAGGATATTCCAAGTCAGATGATTCTCGAACCTGCTTTCAATCCGGTTGACTCCAGCGACCCAGCCCCAAAGAGATTCCAGAACATTCTGAGTCGGAAGGATCTATAAGAGCCAGCTCAAGAGCCCAGTTGGGGCTCTCTCCACCCTCGGAGAAGCCCGTGTTCCCTTTGGACGCGTTACTCTCTCTCTCTCTCTTACTCTCCATTCCCCCGCTTATCTGCTTATCCCTTTCTCTCCCTCTCCAAAAGCCTCCAAATAAAACCTGTTACTTCACTGCTCGTCTACTCCTGAAATTCTTTTCTGCGAGCGAGACAAGAACCCCAGAAACCTCGGGTAAGGCTTGGGACTGGTCTCTCCTTTCCTGCGAAGAGCAAATTCTCGCCCCAGCTTGAGTCCGTGGCTCCCCGAGCAATCGGGTGGCGGGGATTAACTCCCGTGCCGAGAAGATCAAGCGGACTTCAGGTGTGGCTTGACGGCCACCTTGTGGGGCTGGTGGGGCTTAGGCCCGTGCCCAGCAGGTGCTCACTGCAGACTTTACCAGTCCTAGCCTACCCAGGGTCCCGGGTGGCAGAGGCGGGTGGGGAGAAAGTGATTGTCTTTCTCCTCCCCACTTCACATAAGTCACCCGTGGGGCCCACTGACATCAGTAGGACAATTTATTTGGGAACCTCTGCTTCAACACTGGGAATATAAAAATGAATGGACCCAGTCCATGCCCTCGAGGTCGAGTATAATTTTCAATCCATGTTGACAAATTACATTTAGTATTTCTGTAAAAGTCTTTTCCTCTAGAGTGCACACTTCTCAATGCCAGAGATTATGTCTTCTCTCTCCATCAGTATTTCCAAGAGCAAAAAGCTCTGTCCACAGTTCAAGTCAATACAAGTGGTAGAATTTAGTATGGAGACTGGACTCCAAACAGTACAAACAGAAACTCAGTGAACATCAAGCTTTTAAGTTTAGAGTTTGTGCCAACATTTTAAACACTGGGATCAACGACTATTTCACAGGTTTGTTGAGAAAATTAAGCGAATAAATACATACAAAGCACGAAGTGTATAGTAAATCATCAAATACTTTTTCGCTATTATTTTTACTGTTTAACTGAACTCAGAAGTTCGAGCAAAAACTCTGAAATTGATTTCAGATGTTTGAAATCAATTTGAAATTGATTTCAAAAGAGTTTATTCATTCTCGCAACATAATAGTACAGATTTAAGATAACACATTTGGTCCTTCTAGGAACGGATGCCTCCCTCATGATTATCTTTGGTGCATCAACAAGATGCACTTAACCTTTTCTGGGACAAGTTCTGCATAACTGCTGTAATGCCAATCTTTATTGAGTTTTTTTTTTGGGGGGGGGGTCACATCCAGCGATGCTCAGGGGCTCTCATCCTGGCTTTGCACTCAGAAATCACTCCTGGCGGTGCTCGGGGGACCAGATGGGATGCTGGGAATCGAACCCCGGTCGCCCGCATTCAAGGCAAACGCCCTACCCTCTGTGCTATTGCTCCAGCCCCTTTATTAAGTTTTTAAAGTTTCCTTTTATCAAATGACATAAAGCAAAAAGAGCATAATCCGGCCAATTTAGGGAGTGAACTTGTGAAAAACTTTGTGAAAACATCCTCTAAAGTTCTTGCTAACGGGCAACCTGATGAAACCCCTAAAGTGACAAGGTAGCACCAACGCACCAAGGTGCAGTGAGGTGCGGGGTCAGGCGTGGGGGAAAGGTGTGGGTGCTGGTCAAAGGTCCCGGAAAAGCAAAGCCCATCGTCCAGTGTGCACCACCCCTCCGTAGATTTCCGACAAGCCAGTGGGTTTGTCCTCACATTCTGGGGCCAGTGGGGAGAAGGGTGATCTTGGGAACCCAGCGCGTGGCTAGAGCAAGCTGAAAGCGGAAGTGGCCAAGTTGCGGAAGCACAACAGACTCTCAGGTCCGCTATCCACATGGCCTCCGAAGCCGGGCACTTACCGAAGTCATAAAGGTTCTGGAGCAGGGTGTCCAGAAGTGTCTGTGAGCCGGGAGGCATGGACGATTCTTGACTCTGCGCCATGCTTCGGCCGGCCACCACCGCGCCCCAGGGCCAGCCTCCACGCGAGCCGAGCGGCGCCCTCACTTCCGGGTTCCGCGGGGGGCTGCGCGCGCGCCTCTAGTCCCAGTGCGGCTTCCGTCCTGATTAAGATGGCGGCACCCGTGCTCCGGTGGAGCGACCTTAGCGGGTGCCGCCGCCGTAGGCGAGGTTGGGCTGCCCCCCGCGAAAGAACCGCCCCCAGCAGCAGCACCACCACCAGCGCTTAGAAAAAGACTCCCAGGCCCCGCCCCGGACAGCAGCTGCACCATGGATTCCTGCGGCTCTAACGCTAGCTTGTCGGTCGGCTCCGCTGGTCCCAGCCCAGTCGTGCTTCTCTACTCGGTAGGCGTTCCGGGGACCGAGGCCCAGGGCGGGACGGCGAGAGGAAACCCCCTTCTGCTCCCGGTTTCCTTCGGGCCACCACCCCTGGCCCAAAGGGACGGCTCCGGAGCTCCCAGTGGAGGGATTAGGTGGTTGATTGGGTTTCCGAGGCAACGGTGATGTTGCTGCTTGTGCTCTTCGAAGTTTCTCGCGCGGATTATGATTTTCCTCTTGCCTTCTTCTCGCTCGTTTCTTCTTACTCTCCACCAGGCGCTGGGCCTTTAGGGGGCCGTGTGACACAGGACCGAAGGGGTGAGAGTCGGAGTGTCTTCGTTTCTGGAGGGCGGGAGTGGTGGCAAGTTCCCTTTCGGGCCAGCCCGAGAGAACCTGCAGGGGATCCAGCTCAGCTGAGCTCGCCGTTGGCGCCGCACTCCGCCCTTCTGGCTGCTGTTATATTCCCGATTCCCGGGAGAAATGTGTTTGCTTTGTAGGTGGGGGCGTCGAGGGTTGGAAAACGTTTTGTTTAAATCTTAGATGATGGCAGTTTCCGCGGATTTTTATTGTGTGCTCGCCTTCCGTCATCCATTGCCCTTTCCCCCACCTTTTGGAAGACAGCTAATGCAGCCCAGCGTCATTCCAACTTGATTAATATTTTTACCTCTAATGATTTTAACGAGCCCCCCCCCCCCCCCCGTTCCCGCCTTTTGCTTAAGGAGAATATTGGTGACAATTTGCATGAAGAAATTATGAAAGGGGAGTTTTGTCGCTCTGGATTGCGCGAACTCGGGCAACTTTTTTTTTTTTTTAGGCTGCATTTTTATTTACTTTCAGAGGAAATGAATGACTTTTAAGAAGCAAGTTAACGATTACCTGGTGGTTAGTAGTAGTTTCTGATTTTAATGGTAGTTGTGTAGGAAGTTCTTACTATGAAAAACACGCTAAGGGCAAGCAAGATACGCTAAAATTCAGTTTTGATCGAGTTGGTATATATCTGGATACCTTCAAGTTGGTACAAAAATATTTTTTGAAATGTGGGACACTTCTGTTTCCTTACGGTCCATTCTCTGGAATTGTAATTGCTGTGACTGACCTTTTCTCTAAAGTCTGTCATGTTAATCTCTGTCATCATTGACCTCCTCACCTCACAGTTCTGCTATGGGAATATGAGAGTATTACCTGATTTTCAGACTGCTACTCCAGGACAGGGAAATGGGGAAGTGGGGATTCTGTTTCTGTCTGACTTGCCATAAATATCTTTTTCAGCCCTAAATTGAAATTGAGTGCATTTTTTAGCTTTTTTTACCTGAAAGGGTAAAATGGTCTTATTTGAACTGTTTCTACTTATAAAGCTGTACAGCAACCCTCCCTATTCTGTGAGGTTTTTCAAAAGATTAACCTGAAATTTTTTACTGAGACTGTTCTTATTTTCTCAGTCACCTTTCTGTTGTGCAATACTTAATTTGAAGTAGCTAATATCTAACTACTCTTAGAGATATTTAAATACTTCTGATTGCAACATACACTGCAAAAAAAAAAGTTTTTAAAACATTTTGTTCTCAAGGTCCAAGATATGGAAGCTAAAAACTTAGTTTTGTAAAAGAAAACTCAGCTCTTATTTGTGTGGGTTTCAAAAAGTAGTTATAAAAAACAATCACAATTGACTTCCAGAATGTCAATGAATAAAGTGATGTAAGGGCACTGTGGGTGTTATGAGGAGTGTCTGACCTGTTTGGGAAGTCAGTGAAGGCATCTTTAAGAGAAGGTCACACCACAGCTGAATTTTTAAGGTATGAATGGGAGATAAGAAGCTGTCCTAGCTATTATGTGAGAACGCCCTCCCTTGTGTGTTTGAGGAATCACAACAGATAGGAGAACTCTGAAGAGATGTTGAGTACTTTGAAGGGACTTGGGAAATGAGACTTAAGAGGGAGGCAGTGGCTATTTCCTGAAGAAATCTTATACATACTGTCTTATATACCCTTTAGGACCAAATCTTTACAGACTATTTAAGGATCATCATATTTGAGTTTTTATAGTTTTAAGAGGGGCTTGAGATAGTGGATAGTACAACAGGTAAAGAAGTTGCCTTGCATGCTGCTGATCAGGGATGGATCCTTAGCACCGCCTGAGGGCCCCAGCCCTTCCAGGAGTGATTTCTGAGCTCATGTCAGATGTATTACCTGAGCACAGCCAGATGTGACTTCCCCCAAATAAAACTAATTTCATAAGAAGACAACTAAGGTGGGGGGGGGGCAGAGCAATAGTACAGGGGGTAGGGCATTTGCCTTGCACATGGCCTACATAGGTTTGATCCCTGGCTCCCTGTATGGTCCCGTGAGCCTGCCTGGAGTGTCCCATGAGCCCGCCAAGAGTGACCCCTGAGCGCAGAACCAGAAGTAAGCCCTGAACACTGCTGGGAGTGGCACACACACACACACACACACACACACACACACACACACACACACACTAGTTTCTGGAGTGTTTGTTTAGGATAACTTCTTTAACCTAAATAGTGACTACAGTAAGGGTAACTGATTGGGCAAGAAATCAGGTGCTATAAATGTGTAGATCATTTAGAACCATTTTGTAGTAATCCATAGAAGGGATAAAGGGAAGCAGTGATAGTAAAATCTGGACAGAAGCGAGTTTATGCGATGGTCAGTACACATACTCCACTGTGTATTTAGATACGTCAGCTAAGGAAAAAGAGGCTGCTTGAAGCTGACTGATTTCTATGATGTGGCAACTGGATGGATAATGATGCCTTTCACTGATAGAAAATCTGTGAAGAGGAGCAGGTTTAGTCAGGGTAATCTGATAATTCCAGTTTGAATGCATTCATCTTGCATTCAAACTTTCAAGCTGAAGATTATTGTACTTATGTATCTGTTACATCACAAGTTGTTTGGGGAATATCCAAATATAGTTAGAAATTTGGTACCACAGCAAAAGAGGAAGGTCTGTCCTAAATATATAGATTTGGAAATCACTTGCAATTAAGTTATATCTGGGACTGTAAGGGTCTTGGAATCTTTCAAACAGACTAAAAAATGAAATGAAGGCTGGAAATCAGTCCTTAGACTGTTTATAATCCAAATTTTGGCTTCCCATCGCAGTATGAAATACCTTTTCTTGAAAACAACAGCAACAACAAATTGGGTATGTCTTGCAGTGTCCAGGTCTTACTTCTGGCTCTTCATTCAGATATCGCTTCTGATGGAGCTTTGGTGGATCATTTGAGTGCTAGGGATCAAACCCAGGTTGGCCAGGTTGGCTATATGCAAAGCAAGCATCCTATCCACTGTACTTTTCGCTCTAGCCCCTGACTTTTAAAAGTCTGGACACCTTGAAATGGCTGCATAGCCAGGTAGCTGCTACTATTTTTATTTTCCTGATCTTGCTCACTAGACTGCAGCAGGGAGAAATATACCGACCTATTTCTCACAGGGTAAGCATGCCTTATCAGTGTGTTCACAGTCCCTCTGTGTGTCATAGTGTTTCCCCAGAACTTTGTATTATTATTGAGGTTCTGTCTCAAGTGCTACCTCCTCAGAGAGGCCTTTCCCAATCTAAAGCAGTTCTTCAGGGCTGGAGCGATAGTACAGCGGGTAGGGCGTTTGCCTGGCACGTAGCTGACCTGGATTTGATTCCCATATGGGATCATATGGTCCCCTGAGTACTGCCAGAAGTAATTCCTGAGTGCAGAGCCAGGAGTAACCTCTGAGCATCAACGGGTGTGACCCAAAAAGTTAAAAAAAAGAAAAGAAAAGAAAAAGTTCTCCAGTCATTCTTCATTTTATTTTCTCTATATTCTCTTTCTAGTTTTGTGCTACAGCAATCTTATACTGAGCTTTAAAAGCTTTCACAATTTTTTCCTGAAAACAGCCATTATTAAAAATTTAAAATGAAGTTATATAAATTTACAATTAAAGTCTGTTAAAACAAAATTCAGCACTTCCAAATTACTTTACTAAATCTAATTCTAGTAATCTTACTAAATCTTACCTGTGCTTTTGAGGTGCTGATGACAATCATACAGTAAGATGAAAATCCTATGTTATCGTATCTTCTGTGCATTTCTTCCCAATTTTGTGTTTCATGATGTCATAACAGTTGCTTGAAATCTGTCGCTGTGGGATACATATACCACAGAAATTTACTAACACTGCAAATTAGGGTTCTCCTAATTTACTGGCATATTATTGATGGAATCTTTGAGTGATCTTAGTTTTTCATTTGTTGTATTTTCTAAGGGATGTAAGCTCCCTCAGTGTATAGTCCTGGTCTTCCTTATTCATGCTGTTTTCTCAGCCTCTTTTTTTTCATTTTTTATAATTTTATTTATTGAATCATCATCAGAGCAGTTACAAAGTTTTGGGGTTTAAGTCTCGGTCATACAATGGAACACCCGTACCTTCACCAGTGCCCCCAGACCCCAGTATACCCCCATCCCATACCCTCCCCCTACCTGTGGGGCAGATGATTTCCACATTACTCTCTCTCTACTTTGATTACATTCAATATTTTGACACCAGACCCACCATTATTATTTGGGATTTTAACCCACCACTCAGATCTGCTGAAAAGTCAAGAGTAGACAATTTGTTTTCTATTGCTGGTTATGAATAACATATGATGTCAGGTGGCTGCAGCAGTGGCCGCGCAAGTTTGAAATTCCAAAATTTTAACAATTAAATCTGGAGGGATTTC